CCTAGTGGCTGATCTCTGTCCGCAGGGATTGGAGCATCTTATGCCTGCCGTCTGCCCAGGGTCTGGGCACCGTCACCTTAGCATCCCCCATCACTCCTATGTCAAGTTCAAGGCAGCAACCTGTCATTCCTTCCTCACTGAGGACTGGTCTGCTTCTTCGCTGGTGGTTGAGGACGAGGATCCACTCCTTTTTACCAGCCCAACTGGTCTCGGCTGTGTTGGGACTGACTCAATGAAGGAAAAACGCTGCTGAGTCACTGCCACTTCCTCCAACACCCAGGATCTCCATTAATTCAGGCCTCCCATCCACGTGGTGAATCACCAGCCTGAGATGGAAAGTGAGGGTGCACCCCAGATGCCAGGGGGATTTAAGAAGCACAGCTCAGCCCCCCTTTCACAGAGCTCACAACACAGGGCCCCTCCCTGCCCTGGTAGATCATCTTCCTTCTATTTGTCTTGGCATAAGCATTTCATATTCAAACATGTCTTGACCCTGCAACGGGGAGGTTTTTGGAAAATACTTCCCTCTCAAATGAGCTCTAGTTAAAGTCACTGTTCCTACAACATTTTTAAAAACAGAGAGTGTACTTATGTGAGTGCCAGTTGTTAAAATTCTAGGGAAGTTTAAAATAACCTGTTACATGAAAGCTCTCTTGGGCATATATTCAAATCAAATTATGGGTTTCAACCTCACAAAAAGCTGAGGTCTTTCAAACCCTGATGTGGCTACTTGTTAGCTGTATCACTTCAATGGAGGCTTCTGGGTCTTTTAAGCCTAGTTTTCTCATCTGTGACTTAGGGAAGATCACTCCTGTTTTAATAGCCTTATAGAAATGACAGGATGTGCCTGGAGAAGGGACAATAGAATCTACTGAGGCCACCTCTGTGCCAGCTACTCTGCCAAACACTGTGTCATACTGATATCTTTTTAAATTAGCCTGGATACTTACAAAGTTATGCAATGTTGGTTATTATTATAAGTTGTATAATGACAAGAATAACTGTGAGGCAAGTCTGTTGATGTTTCTGAACTTAATTTCTTTATCTGTGAACCTTAAATAATTCCAACAAACTCAAAGTGTTGTGTAAGACTTATATGAGTTCTCAGAGGTAAAGATGCCAGGAAGAAGTTGTGAAGAAGCTTTCAAAGAGTAGATATGAGTATTCATATTAATGATATATTTTTAAATTGCAGCTTGATAATAACCTCTGTAGTTTTCCCAAAGGGCAATACCAGTCCGGGCAGTGGCATCGTTAATGACACAGCTAATGACATAGCCAATGACAGAAGATCTGTGTATCCTTTTATCCATGCCAGGCTTTAACTACCCCCTCTGGTTGGAGCACACTATCAATTCTAAGAGGGCTCAGAGGCTGCCACCCCAAATTTTGGAGGCAGAACTCTGCTTCTCTGAAAATAGGTCTGAGTGGTTTTGCTTTTGTTTTTAAGAAAAACATGCTTTGGGATCTTTTATCTTGAGAATCTTAATTCTCATGAAAGAAACTAAAGTAGCCACTGATTTACTGTTCATTCCACAGTGAATAGTTTGTGCCATGTGAAGTCAGCTCAGGAAATTCTGAACCTTCTCTGCAAACCTGAAAGCTGGCAGCAAGGGAGGTGTCCTGCCCAGGGGAAGAAGGGGATTTGAAGGAGAACAGGGAGAGAGGGAACAGCAGAGAAGGAGGGAGCCACAGCACTCAGTAAAGGGAGCCCTGGGAGAACGGCTCCTGTGGGAAACTGTGTCCCTGTCCCTGAGTCCCTACTGTTCAAAAGAAGAGCTAAACTCCTCCGGACCCTCGGACCCTCGGGCCTCACTCAGCTGAGAAGTGCTTCCATATACATAGCAACTGACTGCCAGCTGTCACCATCTTCCTGCCTTCAAATGGGTCTTGTGTGCCAGAAAGACTGATTTCCTGGTAGTTCTTCCCTAGATGGCTTGACCAGACTTGAACATGACTCATTTTCACAGGGCAGGAAAAGACAGCTGTGTGCTCAGACCTGCCCAATTAGTTTACTGTTTATGGCCAATATATATAGGCCCAGGGATTTATTGTGGTGCATTATAGCTGTAATAAAAGAGGATGGAGACACTAACAGTGTTTGATGTGCGCTTGAGTCCAGAATACTTTTAACATGTTTGTGATCAGTCAGCATCTTTCAGTGATGAGAAAAAATCTTTTTTTTTCACTCTAAAAATTATGGTAAAAATATATGTAACATTAAGTTTATCATCTTAACTAATTTTAAGTGTACATTTCCAAGTATATTCACATATTGAGCAACCATCATCACTGCCAGAACTTTCTCATATTCCCAAACTGAACCTCTGTACCCATTAAATGCTAATTCTCTATAACCCATATCCCTGCCCTGGCACACACACAACCATCTGCTTTCTGCCTCTATGAATCTGACTGCTCTGGCTTATTTCAGAGTGTGATGTCTTCCAGGCTCATCTATGCTGTAGCATAGGGCATGATTTCCTACCTTTTTATGGCTGAGTAATATTCCATTGCACATACAGGCTACATTTTGCTGAGCCATCCGTCTGTGAACAGACACTTGGGTTGTTTCCACCTTTTGGCTGTTGTGAACGGTGCTGCAAACACGGGTGTGCAAATACCTGTTCAAACGGGAATCTCTCTCGTTTGCAAAAAGTAGGGCAGATGTAAAGAGTCATGCTTTCTTGGGTTACTGTTGTTCAAAAATGGCCTATACCTGTATTTTTAGTTTGGGAAAGTAGATACCACCATAAATAAGGAGACTGAAATTTTTGAATGGAATATGTTAGGTGATTTCACTAAAGCAAAGCCAAATAACACTGAATCTTTAAAGAGTTGTTGTGTTAATAATGAGATGATGATTTAAAATGCTTTTTAAAGTAAGTGATACCCTCACAGATGAGTGATGACTAAGAAGTCATCGGACCTTGGCAGTTATAGGCCTAGATGGTGAGATTCCAAAATCCAGGTGACAGAGTACTTAAAGAAACCCGAGGAAAAACCTACCTAAGGACCTTGTGACAAGCCACTCACTATAACCATGGGCTTGTAGGAGTTTGCTAATATTGCTCACATACCAATTATGAGAGGAAGTAGTGTAGGTTTGCGTGTGTTTTTGTTTTTCATTTTCATGGTCACCCAGTAAGTCAATAATGGTCAGATGGCTACGAATTGGAAATACAAGCTCCAGAGCAATGGAAACGGTGAGGATTTACAGAGAGGGGCTGTGTCTGTGCAGGTGCCGGAGGTCCTAAGGAGGTTGGTGCTGGCTGGGCCCTGCCAATCCTGAGGGAGCCCCATGGACCAGGAAAGAGGCAGTGCCTTGCAGTGACCCTTCATGACAGCAGGTGGCAGTAGTGAGTAGCTTCTTGCCATTGTGGATTCCTATCCGAACATTGGATCTAAGAAACTGGTCACCCAGTTCTATGACCAAATGGCATACATCCCTTGACTGGTTATTCAGCTTTTCAAAGAAGCAAAAGAGGCCAAACTAACCACAAGTCTACAGTCTTTTCCTGGCAAAACACCTTTTATTTTTCACAATTTAGCTTTTTGCTTCTAACTGCCCTCCCTCCCCCAAAGAAACTCTTTCAATGGCATATAAAGGTCTGGAAGGATAGACACCTGGACATTCATGCTGACACTTCAGAGCAGGGCTGAGGAATGGGACTCCCACTTTTGACTATATTCTTCTGTATTTACTACTTAACGCAAATCATTTTAACTATATTTTAATGAAAGCTTAAAATAATGGCCATATTCTATTTCCATTTATTACTCCAGGAATAACAATAATACTGGTAAAGAAACTGCAAGTACTATGAACTTTAATTCTTTTGTGATCAAAAAATAAATAGAAACTACTCACACTTCTCAGAAGGAATTTAAAAAATTGAAAATCTTCTCAAGTAATATCTCTCAATTTAAAAAAAAAAAGTAGTCTACAAAACACCACCTACTACACACATACACTTCCGAGTTTCACAAGGGGAAGCGGTTCCAGATGTGCCTGTGGACACGTGGTTTTCTGTCTCCTTGGGACATGTGGGCAGGTAAACTCTCCAGGGCAGGCAGACTGCTAATCAGGACAGATCTCAGCCCTGATGAAGGCAGCAGCCCATGGAAACTCATTTCCAGCTTTTAGAACGGCCAACGAAATTCAATCCCCTAATAACTTTGAAAGACCCCTGTGCTCCAGGCCCACGCTGGACCCTGGGGAGCAACGAAATGCAGACCAGCCTGAGCCGAGCACCAGCAGAGCTGGTAGTCACAGCAGGTCCTTCCTTGCTCTTGGCCTGTGTCGCAGCTTCTCTGTCAAGTGATGAGATGTCAACACTGAGGAGGAAAGAGGACGTTAAACCTCCATCAGAAGGCCAGCAGGTTAGGCCCCTGCACGGTCACCAGGATCCATGGGAATGAGTGACCATGGGGGACCTCCCTGTCCCCTCAGCGGGACCAGGTCTCAAGCACATGGGAACAAGTTCTGAAAAGCATAAGGGCCTCTCTGACCGTGGTCCGGGTGAGTGTGGTTGAGGGGGCCAGGCTGGCTGAGCTATTTAAAGTCCCTGGGCCATGTCCCCAGCGCACCACCGCCAGCCCCCCTCCCCCACCCCACCACCAGCACCAATACGTGCCGCGGGCTGACCACTCCTGCTGTACCCTCTCATTAGTGCCCTCGCGCCTCCCCCCTCCACTGTCAGGGGACAGCAGCCACCAATGTCCTGGAGCTCTGCCAAGTGAGAAGGTGGTGGGGGTGGGGTAGGAGGCTGGGGCTGGTCCGGAACAGGGCTCGGGGCTGGAGGGGATGGGGGTGGGGGATGCAGGCTGAAAGGCAGGCCAGGGCAGAGATGCAGGTGAGGGTGCGGATGCGAGAGCAGGTTGGATGAGAGGATGTGGATTTCCTGGCGAGGGTTGCTTAAAAGGGGAGCAGGAGCGGGAGACGGGAAGAGATGGTCGCGGGGTGTGGCCCGCACTGGGACAAGCCGTTTCCTGGCGCCACCGGGCGTGAAGTGGGGTGGACGCTTGGGGGCTGGGGCGTGGCGTGGCTGCGGCAGGTCCCGGAGCGGCGCTCGGTGTCCTCCGGGATAGCCGTCGGGGCTGAGAGGCCGGACCCTGGCTCGGGGCACATGCCTGAAGCCGCAGCGAGCAGGTAGAGAAAGTCTCCGTCCAGAGCGGCGGGCAGAGAGGGTAGCCTTGGGAAACCCAGGCGGGACCCGGGACCCGGACAGCTCAGTGGAAACTGGCCTCTGATAATTCTGTTGGGGATCTTTGGAAGTTGTGGGTGCAGCAGGACTGGAGAGCGAGCTTCAGAGACTTCCTGAGGTCCCTTTGCAGTAGTTGAGGTTCCTGTGATGCTTGAGGTCCCTGAAGAGTCAGGTTCTCAACTGAGAATAAGGATTCTTGGAGGGTGGGCGCAGGCTGAGGTGAAATACATCTTTGGTGGTGCCCTCCCCCACGGGTGGGGAGCAGGACGTGCTCTAGAACTTCTTGTCTGAGGGCTCCAAGGACTGTAAACCCTGGAGGCTCAGGAGGACACGGAGCCCAGGACAGAGGCAGGGACACCCCAGGCTGGTCCCGCAGCACCAAGCCCTCTGCATAGTTTCTTGATTTTGTTAGGAATGATGCTGCCTCCTGCTTCTCTTTAAGGGATGTTTTAAAACTTCTTTTTCTAAAGATTCCCTTTAGCTGGGAGTGCCAGGAGTGATTCTTGATCTATATACTGGTTACCCTGAGTCCAAGTACAAGAGTGGAGAAACACTTACCTGACTCCACAGCGATCCCTTCTTTCAGGGGCTGACCTGACAGTATGCAACAGGGACTTGCAGGGACTTGCCTTGCTGTCTGTGCTGTGTGGAAAGAATTCGACCTAGAATGCAGAGCTCCCGGACATGAATACCTGTGATCTGGGCTCTAGAGATAAACGGAGTTCCCAGGTTTTGTTTTATCAAGATACCACCAGTATATGCCATTAAAAGTGGTTCTATGCAAACAACTGAGACATGGATTATGCATTGGTCTCCTAGACCCAAGAACTCTGAATGATGGTGACATGACATGTGAGTCACTTCCCTGGCCATCCATTCGTGTGCTGTGAGAACCATTACAAAACAGACATTAAAAGGTTAAGAGGGAGAGGGGATTAATCCCAAAGCGTGGTGCGTTGAAAGTGCACACCAGCCCATACTTTATGGGTGCAGCAGTTTAGTTCATGTTGAGATGAGCATCCATTGAGAGGGATGAACGTGTTCCTGTGAAGTAACTCACAGAGGCTGTGCCATTAGCGCCAGTGGACAGTGCTGTGTAGGTCAACCAGCAAAGGTTAAGTGGCTCCAAATTGTTGCAACAGCACATAAGAAAAGTTCATGGTTCCCCCATGAGAAAGTGAATTTTGACCCAATTTCCTTAATGGAAATTAAGAGGTTATATTCTAAGAAGTGTTATTTTTATTTTTAAAATATATTTGATTTTCAATTACAGTTGTACAATATTATATTAGTTTCAGGTGTACAACCAGGTTATGAGACATTTACACAACTTATTATGTGATCATCCCAATAAATATACTTACCCATTTCACACCATGTATATTTATTACAATATTGCTGTTTATTTTTTATTGTATTTTATTGATTATGCTATTACAGTTGTCCCATTTTTTTCTCTCCTTATTCCCCTCCACCCTGCACCCCTCTCACACCAGCATTGCCCTCCTTAGTTCATGTGCGTGGATCGTACATATAAATTCTTTGGCTTCTCCATTTCACATACTATTCTTAACCTCCCCATCTATTGTGTACTTATCATTTATGCTTCTTTTTCTCTCTACTTCTTCCCCCCTTATCGCCCTCCACCTCCCTGCTGATAACTTTCCATGTGATCTTCATTTCTGTGATTCTGTTCCTGTTCTAGTTGTTTGCTTAGTTTGTGTTTTTATTTTTGTTGTCTTACTAGTCTCAATTGTTGATAGTTGTGAGTTTGTTGTCATTTTACTGTTCATAGTTTTGATCTTCTTTTTCTTAGTTAAATCCCTTTAACATTTCATGTAATGAGGGCTCACTGATGATGAACTCCCTTAACTTGACCTTATCTAGGAAGCACTTTGTCTGCCTTTCCATTCTAAATGATAGCTTTGCTAGATAGAGTAATCTTGAATGTAGGTCTTTGCCTTTCCTGATTTTGAATACTTCATTTCTTCTTGCCTGTAAGGTCTCTTTTGAGAAATCAGCTGACAGTCTTTTGGGAGGTCCTTGCTAGAGAAGTTTCTCCTTTTCTCTTACTGCTTTTAAAATTCTCTCCTTGTCTTTAATCTTGGGTAATGTAATTATGAGGTGCCTTGTTGTGTGCTTCCTTGGGTCCAACTTCTTTGGGACTCTCTGAGCTTCCTGGACTTCCTGGAAGTCTATTTCCTTTGCCAGATTGGGAAAGTTTTCCTTCAATATTTTTGCAAATAAGTATTCAATTTATCACTCTTCCTCTTCTCCTTTTAGCATCCCTATGATTCAGATGTTGGAACACTTAAAGTTGTCCCAGAGGTTCCTAAACCTCTCCTCATTTTTTTTTGTATAATTCTTTCTTCATTCTGTTCTGCTTGAATGTTAATTTCTTCCTTCTCCTCCACATTGTTGACTTGAGTACCAATTTCCTTCCCTTTACCATTGGTGCCCTGTACATTTTTTTTTATTTCACTTTGCATAGCCTTCACTTTTTCTCTATTTTTGTGACCATACTCAACTGATTCTGTGAGCATTTGATCACCAGTGTTTTGAATTCTGTAACTGATAGGTTGGTTATCTCTTCATTGTTTAATTCTATTTTGGGAGCTTTGATCTGTTCTTTCATTTGGGCTATATATATATTTTTTTGCCTTCACCTGTAACATTATAAGGGTGAAGCCTTAGGTATTTGCCAGGGCAAGGCAACCCAAGGGGCTGCTTTGGTGCTGTATGTCGGGGAGGGGTCCAAGAGGGACAATGCTGCTTCCTCAGCCAGCCTTCAGTCACTTCCACACTACCCACAAGGAAATTTGGCCCTTCTGTTACTGATTCCCAGGTGGGTGGGTTTGTGTACATTCTAGGACCCTGTGGGTCTCTCCAACAAACTCTCCTGTGAACCTGGGAGTTTCTCCTGCTGCCAAAGCCCCCACAGGGAAAGGATTTATTTCCCTGCTCTGGAACCCTGGGTTGTGCAGTGTGTCTCACTCCCCAGTTGTTTCTACCAGTTTAGCTGCTTGGAAACGTGGGACCACCAGGTCCACCAGCCACCACCTTGCCTTTCCTGGTCCTCCACCACCCACCTGGCTTACCAAGCGTCCTCTCCATGCTCATCTGCCGATCTCTGCCCCTCCTACCAGTCTGAATGAATGTTTCTTCTTTAACTCCTTGGTTGCCAAACTTCCATACAGTTCAATTTTCTGGCAGTTCTGGGTTTGTTTGGTTTTTTTTTTTTTATTTGCTATTGTCCTTCTTTTGGTTGTGTGAGGAGGCAGAGTTTATCTACCTATGCCTCCATCTTGGCCAGAAGTCCAAATTATCCTGGTGTTCATTTTCTTAACTAAAATAAGTTTTACACTATACATTTGAAACAAAATTAATTCTTTGTACTTATCACAGCCACTTTTTAAAATTTCATGCATGTAAAGAATTTAACTGATAATTAGTCTTACTGATGTAATTGTTACTTGAAATGCACTCAACAGATATTAAATAAGATATACATTTAGGGGAATTTTACTTCAGTATTGTGCGTAATACATAACAAATACATAGTTTATGTAATGGGCTAAAATATTATCAGAACATTCTAAAAAGTAGAATGGCCTTTGAGAAGCACTTGATCCTGTACAGAAACCCTAGGTCCATCTTGATTATCGTACAGTATCTTCCTCCTTCCCCCTCCACTAGATCATGACCATTATCAACACTATGTAGCATTTTTATATTATTTTGATCAATTTTTTTTACAAATCTGCATCTTCTATAGATTGTGAATTAACCTCCTGAGGGTGAGGCCTTAATTATTTTGCTATCCTCAGTGCCTCAGACATATAGGTGTTTGATTAATGTTTTCTTAATTGAAGAAAAAAATCCAATACATGTAACCTTATACAGCATACACATGTCTCTAAAAACAGTATGGTTTTGTTATTTCAATAAAATAGTGATAAAGTTTCATCTTAATTTTTATTTATATAGTGGTGGAAAATTCTTCATCATGATTATTAGTTAGTTCTACTGCTTGCTTTGTAAAAATTCTTTATCTTCAAAAGTATGACTTGGTGACCATTGATGTCAGCAGTTTTTTCACTCTTCCATTGAAGAAATAGTGATTTGCTTTAAATTTGCTGTTAACAAAAGAATGATGCTAAATGTAAAAATCACTTAATGTTTTTCATTCAGACCACCTGATTATCTTCATGAGTTACTGCTCATTTATTCTTGACATTCCATTTCCTATTAGCTTTAAAATGAATCTTTTATCATAGAACTTGGAAGAGATTTTGGATTATATACTAGTAGAAGTAGAATTCAAATTATAAGAATTCAAATTATATACTATTCTATATACTATAGAAATTGTTATTTCTGCAAACACAGAAAACATTTTGACAGATATGATTTGTAATATAGAGTAGTAAAATACCACAATTTTAAAGCTGTGAGGTTTTGCTCACCAAGCAAGAGTAAAAACAATGTCTGAATTTGCTTTAAAATAGCAATTCCAATTTATATGATGAAATAACTGGACTGTTTTTACCATATGACTAATATTTAACAACTTTAAACACTCTGGACTGAAAGAAAAGTCAAAAGCTTAAAATGTACTTCAATCTAAGTTTCTAGACATGTTTTAATGTCTGCTAGAGAGCTATAACTCAAAAGGTGATGGTTATAATCTGAATAGTCAGCCTAGTATATAATCCCATGCAGGTACGTGAACAGGGAAGGTGCCCTGGGCCCGCTTCGGAACCAAGGGCTATGTAACCTTAGAAAATCGCCATACCCTCTCTGGACTTCATTTCCTAATCTGCAAAATGAGGAGGATAAACTAGACCACTTCTGAGGTCTCCTAGCTCTAAACTGCTATGATTCCATGTTTGTTCCATGGGCAATTAGTAAGATTCCTGAAGGGTGTAATTTGGATTTATATAAA